GGTTTTTATTTACTTTCAGGATAATGTAAATGCAATTATATTATCTTTTCCATTAACATGAATAATTTTTACATTACATGGTTGCAATATAAGGCTCTATCTGAATAGTCCCATGTTCTGATTTTTAAACTTTTCCATGAAGTCTAGTGGATTATGATCAGTGTAAATTAGTGTTTCCTTGTTTCCATGTCAGACATAGACCTTAAAGTGCTGATGAGCCAACAACAATCCCAAAGTCTCTTTTTCCATGGTACAGTACTTCTTCTGAGACTAGTTTAATTTCTTAGAGAAGTAAGCCTTTGGCTTCTGCATTCTTGACTCATCAACCTTCAACAAAACATCCACTGCCAAATCACTAGCATCAATTGCCTTTTCAAAAGTTTGGAAAAATCAAGAGAAGCTAACACTGGTTCATTCATTGACATTCCCTACAACTTTATCACTAAGGGGAGGTGACAGCTTAGTGGTATTATCACTAAACTATTAATCCAGAGACCCAAGTAAAATTCAGGGACCTGGGTCTGATCCCACCATGGCAAATGGTGGAATTTGAATTAAATTAAAAGAAAACTGTAATTGAGAGTGTACTGACGACCATTAAACCATTGTAGATTGTCAGAATGAAAAAAATTTGGTTCACTAATGTCCTTCAGGCAAGGAAATTGCTGTTCTTATCTGGTCTGGCCTGCATGTGACTTCAGCAATGTGGTTGACTCTTAACTGCCCTCTGACATTGTCTAGCAAGGCACTCAGTTATAACTGAAACTTCCAAGTTTCTCTTGAAAGGGAAAAAAAGAATTGAAATGGCTGGACGCCTGGCATCAACCGAGGCATCGGACACAACAAAGGCAAAACAGCCCTGTTGACACTCCACATGCACTCTTAGTAACATCTGGGGCCCAGTGCCTTACTGGGGAGAATTGTCTGTTATACTAACCAAGCTAAAGCCTGATATAATCATGCTCTTGGAATCATACCTTACAAGGAATGTTTTAGACATCACCATCCTGGCTATGTCCTGTCCCACTGCAAGCCCCACTGATGCCCTCAACTTGATTGGTAGTGTAATTCTTGGCAGAATTTGGATTATTCAGCAAATGGTGTCCAATCATGAAATCACATGTAATGTTGGACACTGTTCTGAGCTCTGTAAGAACCGGCAAGTTAATTGAAAAGAGCTAGAGGGAAGTTCTGTTTGATACAATCCACCAGTTATTGGGAAATGCAGCCCACATACCTGGCATCCAGCATTGAAAATGATACATCACATTACCCATTTTACCCCACACTGTTACACTTTCCCCTCACATTGTCACTCTGTGCTCCCTATCCCTGTGCTGTCACTCTACCCTCCATACACACTGTGACAATGCTGTCAATGTAAGAGGTTATTTTTGACCTGGTTTTGTTTTAAGACAGGTTGTAAGGCAGAGGAACCGAGCTGGCTAGTTCACACCACTTGAGTAAACAGCTTGGGAGGCCTTGGGTTTTTTTTAAAACAGCCTGAATGGGTGTGGCCACCTCTCAAAAGATTAAGATTTCTTGTTTTGGTTTTTCAGTAGCTTCAGAAGCTATTGGGGTCTCAACAGAGTTGGAGCTTCAGTGAATGTCTCCTGGCTCCTAGTCTCTGAATTTTCTCTTGATGTTAACTTTCTCCTCGATAGGAGAACTGTATGTGAGAATCTGTGTCTGAATTTTCTTTTATTGCCAAGGGGTATGTTTATGGGATTTGCTACATTGGAACAGTTAATTAGTAATAGTTACTGTATGTATTATTCGGTTAAGTTTTCCAACCGGGTTAAGTTATTCTAAATTCCTCTTTCTTTGGTTGTATTTTAACTGCCGTGTGTAAATAAATTGTCTTGCTTCATGTCAAGTAGTTAGACCAGTTGCATTGCATCGGGAACAAACACTTTATATTTACCTTTAAAATAAGAAAATGTTAGGGTATAGGCTACCTTCTTAAAATGTTTTGAGGAGGCCTGCTCTGGTCCATAACACACACACTGTGATAAACATTGGAAGGATAGTCCCACCTTTCCAGTATGGCACATAATTATATATTCAATATCTTGCATTTGGACATTTTCCTAATAATAAGCCCTACGTTGAGCTGTTTGGTCTGAAACAGTAGTTTGAGTGCTATCATCTGAATTTTGAAGTTTTGGCAGTTGTGCTGTGAGCTGAACTTTGAAGCTGGGCTATTTATCCAGGAACCTAGAGCTGCAACTGTGTGTATCCAAGGTTTCGTCCACAGTGCGTTCCAAACGGAACCAAATTAATTTTCACTCAAGTTCACTATTCCACTACCTTGGAATAAGATAATCATTCTGATGAGCAATAACCTTTTTGTTTCATAATTGTTCATTCCACCGACATTTCTGTCGTTGATAACATATTAATGCATTCACCACAACGTCTGACCTCATCCATACGCATAATTTGCCTCACCTTCTTTCTCCCTCCGGGCTTTTTTGGGAATAGGTGAAGTTTGACCAGTTCCTGACCTGCTTCATATTCAATATTTATCCCCGCCCCTCCGCCAGGGCCACTCATCCACTCAGCCCCGTGGAGAGCTCTGGGCTGCTCTCGTCTTTCTCCAGGGGTCCCAACTGAACGCCTCAGCCAGCGAAAAACGCGTGGATTTTATTTTTGCCCTCTCCAGGCGGAGTAACTCAGCATGGCTAGCTTGACTGGTGTCTGGCTGCGTCCGGGCGTCCTGCGGCTCGTAGTCTTGCTGCAAATCATCAGCTTGTGCTTGACCCAGGTACGTTGAGGGGAGAGAGCGACTTTGGGATCGGTGGTCTGATGCTGAGCTTGAAAACAGTTTTTAAAAAGTGAGGGATGGAGTGCCCTGCAAATTTGTCCTGAATTAAGAGGATGTTAATTATAACCCATTATGTGCAGCACTTCCCAACTGTCAACAAGCACCTTCTGAATCCGGGAGTATTGAAATCCAAGAGGAAATAATTTTCCTTGAGTGAGCTCTCGGTGTGAACGTCTATCTCCCTCACCAACTCAACTTCTTTGAATGAAGTGTGGTGTTTTGGGTGCCCGGGCTGTGAAATTCTCAGCCCTGAGTACTGACTGCCTGCAGAGATAGTGGGCAAAGGAAACAGTGCCATAGGCAAAAAAAAGAGACAGAATTCCAACTCTCAACCACTATCCAGAACAAGGTAGAGTGCTGCGGAGTTTCTCCAGTAATTTCTGTTTCTACTGGTCTTGATGGGGGCTTCCAATGTCTGTTATCCGTTATTCTGTTTAACTCTACTTGTCCATCATTTTCCTAAAAGAAAAGTCGGATAACATTTCGAAAAGTACAGTTGACATTTTCTTTTCCCCGCTTCTGGGTCATTTTCTGATGTCTACATTTTATTCCAAGGCTTAAAACTCTCTCTGTCTCTTGCTTGCCAGGGTCCGTTCGATGAGCAACGTGTAGTTGGATCCCCGGGCCCAGCTGGGATTCCTGGATCGGACGGTATCGATGTGAGTGTGCATGTGTTTCCAGGAGGGCTGTTAGACAAAGAGCGGCATTGTCCCGGGTACCAGCCCGCACTGTCTGGCGGCAGGGGGAGCACCTACACCACGTCCCAGATCCCCCTGACCACTGCGGGGGGATTTCAAGGCACATTCAATTCATTCCCAATAAACCTAACATCGGTCTCACTCAACCAAATTCAATTTTGGATGTTTTGTTTCTTTAAAAGAATGGCTATTTAATCAGAGAATTAAGGGGTTAAACGCCGTCGCCACTCGGTGTTTCTGAGAGAGACGGGGGACTCGTTGTGAAAGTTTATGGCGAGCGGTGAACTAGAAAACATTCAATTCATTTCCCTCCATATGCTGCGAGCTAATTTAAGGAAAACAAAATAGTTCAATTTAATAGGCACGGTTGTTCAGTGCCTGTATGAAGTCTCAGACTATCATGCATTGGTTCATTCACCAAAACGTGCTGTTTTAAAGTTTAGCTCCTTTATAAATCTGGAACTTCAGAATGATTGATTTAAAATGAACTTGGGACATCAATAATTTAATTCAATTAGAGCTGGACATTTAAAGGGATGTGACAGAAGAATATGCAACAGAGAAGCTGGTGTATTACTTAACTGTTCCTGAAGGAATGTCTTTCAAAGATTCGCCCATGTACTTATGTGATATGTATTTCTTTTTCTAGGGGGAACGTGGACCTCCTGGGCCCCCTGGTCCACCAGTAAGTGACTCACCTCATTTCTCTCAAGTCTCTGTGTTCACTATCATTGAAAAAAATACTTTTGCACCTCAGTTCAAAGAAAATTAACCAGAGCCTTAATTTTCATTAAGGGAGCAAAGGGTGATCCTGGTGAACCTGGACTAGATGGACCTCAAGGTGACCCGGGATATGATGTGAGTACCTTCCGATGCAGTGGAGTTGTGATGATTTTCACTGGGGTGTTGCTGCATTTGTGGAATGTATCTCAGGGAGGGCCAGTCTTTGTTAAATATCTTGTGTGTGAATGTGTCTCTGTCCCTCCTCACTCTTCCTTTGAATATAACCAGTGTCTGGGAATTAGCTGAAGCCATAGGATATTCTTGGGGAGGAGAAATCCCAGCTCTAGGATTAAAAATTCCATCTGATTTCTAACTTTACTGCACGCTGAGCAATTCCTATGCAGTCTCTATTTGTGCATTTATTCTGCAAGCAACCCTACACTGGGTGTAGAAATTTGTAACTGTATTTCCTATGTACTGGAATCTGCATTGTGTACACTGCACATACGGAGAATGAAGATCTGCATAGTGTACACTCTATGTACCGAGAATGAGGATCTGCATTGTGTACACTCTATTTACTGAGAATGAGGATCTGCATTGTCTGCACTCCATGTACCATCAAGAGGGGACACCAGTTTGCAATAACGTGGAATAGTCAACAAGGTTGATGCCCATACGACGTTCTCTGGATTGGGTTGAAAGTTGTTGTGAAATTGAACCTGTATGTCTTTCAGACATGCCATCACACAGGACATGCTGGAAACAGGGCCTTTGACCGCAGATATCTGGAATACAGAGAAACTGCAGCTCTACACAATCCAACTTTTAACTGATTTCCAAATTGGACAGGCATTTGAGAGAAATATATTCGCAGCATTACAGGATAGCGAAGAGAATGGCCCTGATTGGACTGCTCTACACGCAATTAAATCAATGGACTGAATGTCCTCCTTCTATTCTGTAATGGCTCTCTGATGGATTTGAGACCTTCTCAGCATCCTGGGAAATGACCTCAGAAGGGTCTATGCCCGAAACGTCAGCCTTCCTGCTCCTCTGATGCTACTTGGCCTGCTGTATTCATCCAGCTCTACACCTTGTTAACTCAGATTCCCCAGCATCTGCAGTTCCTACAATCTCTCTCCAACTCTTCTGTTGACTGCCATTGATCACAGATGCAGCTGTTTGTTTCATGCTCAGGAGGAGGTCCCATACTCATTGTGATAGATGAAACGGTATTCTTTCTTTCCAAAACCATGGTCTATCTCTTTTTTTGGATTTGGGATTCTATCTTATTGTATTTCATGCATAGAGGTTTTAGAGGTGAACAGTGAGATCTCATTCTGAATCCATGTGTTCTGATCTTTGCAGTTCTGGTGCTTTTCCAGTTTGTCCCACATTGGAAGTACATCAGTAATGGGAAGGTTTTGACCAGGCAACTCACCTGGTCCCTGTGGATCTTTACATCATTGAGCAAAAACAATGAGGTCTGATCAGCTGTGTTAAACCCGAATGAACTTGATGGACAAAATAGGCTGTATTTTTACTGAATTGGGATATCTCCAGAGCCCTTTAAAAATGGGTGTGTATATGACGTATATACGGCGTGGAATTTAAACGGTGTTTGATAACCGTGTTTCACACTTATTTGAAACTAGCACATGAAATTAAAGAAAACTTGGGATTGCAATTAAAGGATAGAAGGCATAAAGTAGTGGTGACTGGATGTCTTTCTGACTGGCGAGAGGGAGACAATGGGCCCACGAAGGGTCAGTATTAGGACCATTGTATTTCTTGTTTTCTATATGAAAGACAGCTTTGCGTGTGCGGGACTATGATTTAAAAGTTTGTGGATGATGCAAAACTTGTGAATATAGTCTATACTAAGCAGAAGAGTAACAGATCACAGGAGGATTTAGACAGTCCAGTGACATGGGCAGATGTGGTGGTTGGTCATGTGGGTTCTTGGATATTGTTTGAATCTGCAGCCAGACTTCACAGTAACTGATAATGTTTGGTTATTGCCACACTGTATGTGATGGTAAGGCTACAGAGGAGGAGGCTTCAAGGTGTGTACAACAACCAGCTTCCTCCTGGAACTCTAACACATGATCACTGAGGTCACAGTGATATCATTGCTTACCTCAAATATCTGTTTACATAATTATCAAACCCATCATTGGGGGTGGGGTGGTTAGGGGCAGGGTATTTGGGATAGTGGTAATGTTGCTACTTCTGAGCTAAGAGGCCTGGGTTCAAGTCCCACCTTCTCCAGAGGTGTGTAATAACCTCTCTGCACAGGTTGATGAAAATATCCACCTGATAACTACAAATGACAGATGGAATTGATTGTGGACAAGTGTGAAATGATCCATTATGGACATGGCAAAATACAGAGGCAATGTAATCTCAATTAGGCTGTTTTGATCAGTTTCAATAGTACAGGCTACATATTGAGAAATCTTTACTAAAGCAATTAAAAAGGCACATGGGATCCTTGGCTTTGTAAATAGCGGCATTGAATACAAAAACAAGAGAGTCTTGCTAAACCTGTATAAAACACCAGTTAACTGTGACTGATTCTGGGTATCACAATTTAGGAAGAGTGTCAAAATTTTGAAGATGATACCTTGAGGGGAGCATAGAGGGTAATACAAGAGAAGAGGAAAGATTGGAAAAATTCTGATTGTTCTCCTTATAATGGAGAAGGTTAAAGGGAAACCAAGTACATTATTTCTAAAGGGTTAAAAGGGTAAGGGGGTCCTGCTGAGCCTGTTTCGAAGCCTGGTGAGACTGCAGTTAGAATACAGTGTGCCATTCTGGTTACTATATTATAGAGAGGGGGCAGAGGAGATTTACAAAGGATGATCCCAAAAATGTGTGGGAAAGTTTCTAAAATTCTGGAAGACTTTGATAGAATCACAGAATTGTTACAGTGCAGAGGAAGACAACGTGGCCTATCATGCATGGTTATATAAGCATGGTTACCTCATACCAACCTTCTGCTTTTTATCCACACACCTGCACACTATTCCTATCCAACTAATCATCCAGTGTCCTCTTGAATGCCTCAATTGAACCAGCCTGCACCACATTTCCAGATGGTGCATTCCATTCCCAAACAACTCAATATTTGAAAAAGTTTTTTCTCACTTTAACCTTGTTTTTTTTTGGAGATCATTTTAACTATATACTCTTTTGTTCTTGTTCCTTTTATGAGCAGGAACAGCTTCTCCCTCTCTACTCTGTCCACTCCACTCATGATTTTGTAAATCTCTATTAAATCTTCTCTTAGCTTTCTTCACTCCAGGGAGTACAGTCCCAACTTTTTCAATCTATCCTCATAACTGAAGTTTCTCATTCCTGGAACCTTTTGTGTAAGTCACTTCTGCATTCTCTCCAATGCAATTGTGTCTTTCTTGTAATGTGATTGGCCACCCTTGTACACAGCCTCCAGCCGAACAAGTGTCTTAAGATTAATAGAATGTTTCCTGTCAAAGGGGAAGAGTATAAAAGAGACCATTGATATAAGACAGTCTTGAAGAAGTTCAATAGGGAATTCATTGTGACTTCTTTACCTAAAAATTCATGAGCATGGAATGTGCTCCAACAGGGAGTGGTTGAAGTAAATCGTACATATACATTTAAAGTGTGACTAGACAAGCATGAGGGAGAAAGGAATCAAGGGAAATGACGATAGATTTAGATGACGAAGGATGAGAGGAGGCTCAAATGGAGCGTAAGCACCAGTATTGACATGTTGGGCCAAATGGCCTGTTTCCGTGCCATATATCCTGTGAAACTTGGTAGAGGTATTCAAAATTATGAAGGATTTTGTTTGAGCAATCAATGAGAAAGTGTTTCCTTTGCCAAGTAAGTTGATAATCGGAGATTAAAATTTCAAAGAATTGGTAAACCATCTAGAGGGCAAATAAGGGGAAATCTTGTCTTAGATGGTTATTAAGATCTAGAATGTACTACCTGAAAGGGCAGTGGATCAGATTGTGAAGAAACTTTCAAAAGGCGATGGACATGTACTTGAAGAAGACAAGTCTTCTTGGACGGTATGGTATGGCGCAAGATGACTTAGTGGTTATCACTGCTGTTTGACAGTGCCAGGGACCTGGGTTTGATTCCAGCCTTGGGCAAATATCTGTATGGAGTTTGCACATTCTCCTTGTGTCTTTTTGGGTTTCCTCCCGCAGTCTGAAAATGTTAGGTTAGGTGGCTTGGCCATGCTAAATTTCCCATAGTGTTTAGGATTGTGCAGTCTAGGTGGTTCAGCTATGGGAAATGCAGGGTTACAGGGATAAGGTAGGGTGGTGGGTCTTGGTAGGATGCTGTTTGGAGGGGCGGTGTGGAATCGATTGGCCGAAATAGCCTGCTTCCACACTTTAGGGATTCTATGAAACCTGCAGGATTTTTGGGAATAAGTTGGAGTGTGGCACTAAATTAGAAGTCACTTCAAGGAGTCAACACAGAGACAACTAACTGAGTTACCCACTTTGTGCGGTTTGATTCAATGGGATGAATTTTGGCACTCCTCATTGACTTGTTTGAAGACTGGAGGCTCATAAAATAACATGGGTGGCCAGTGATTATGGGGTTTGGTGGGTCTTAGGAAAGGCCTTGGGCAGCCTGTCCAATCTTAGATCTAGTAATGGTCATATGAGGACCTCATTCCATCTCCACACAACAATGCATGCTGTTGGGAAGGCAGAAGGCAAATGGACAGCGTATAATTTTAACAACTTTGGAGGGAGGTACTGATTTGACGCTGTCATGTGCCCATCAAGAGCACCCCTTTGCAGTGAGTTTACCCCTTTTTGTGCCTTCTCCCCCATCTCTAAAACATGAAATCTTCCCCTTAACCACCCCACACTGATGTCCCTCATTCCTCCCTGACCAATATCCCCAGATTTACTTTTCAGTCAGGTCAGTGTGTTCCTCCTTGGATCTGCTTATAGTCCTAGCAGTGGCCACTACGGTCTTCTGGCACTGCTATATGAGGTGCTGCTCCAGCAGATTGGCTGACACCTCTCGATAATGAGACTTCCTCCCAATGTTGGTGGGGTGGGGAGAAATTATAACTGCCCATGGTATATTCTTGTTGCAGGGTAAACATGTTAAAGTCA